GCAGACTTGAAGAACGACTGATGGATTTTACTCAGCGCCGTCGGCGCTGAGAGCAGCGAAATTAAATACAGGACACTGGCGCCGACAGCGCCATAATGGGCTCCGACGGCGCCAATATCGGTTCAAACCCTGTTTCTAAATGATTTCTTGTAGGTTATTGATTTTTAGGACTTTAAGCAAAAAAAATGAAATTTAGAGTTAAAATGACGTTTTTGAAGAAATACTCGGCGCAGACTTATAGAACGACTGATGGATTTTACTCAGCGCCGGGGGCGCGGAGAGCAGCGAAATTAAATACAAGACACTGGCACCGACAACGCCATAATGGGCTCCGACGGCGCCAATATCGGTTCAAACCCTGTTTCTAAAAGATTCAACTAATTTGGACGTTTTTTGAAGAATTTTTTGATGCATCTATTTGAGAAACGACTCTAGGCTTTATTTGGGGCTCAAATTGATCAGAAATGGCGCTCCTCTTCATTCTGACTTGCTCATTTTCGCCACACCTCGCCTCCATACACTTTTTCCCTCTTCATTTGACCACCATTTAGGAGTCTATTAGTGATTTATCTTTGAGAGTTTAGAGTTTTGTGGTGAGATTAAATGTTAATTCTTCTCTAATAGTGTTGGATAAGGAGAAAAATGAGATATTTCTTCTTTCTACATTTCATGAGAAAGGTTACAATAAGGAGAAAAATGAGAGATTTCTTCTTTCTACATTTCATGAGAAAGGTTACAAGGGATTTACTTTGAGAAAGAGTTTCAAATAAGTTTTGTTTGTTTATTAGTATGAACTTTCTTTTATACATGAAATTTGTGTTTTGTTGTGTCTTTCTCATGAAATCTGAGTAGTTCCCTCTATCTTTCTCCCTACTCTGAGATATAGTGAAATGAAGAGATAATATGATGTAACAATATTAAAATATAAAATAAATTGTAATGATTTTTCAACTCTGAACTTAACTTAATTTACTTTTCGATCTGACCAATTGAATTGTTAAAATATGGTGTGAAACATATAATCCGGTAAATGAAGTATGAGTTCTACAACAGAGTGAGAATCACATTTGATTCCATGAAGGAGTATTTCATTCATGGAATTAAGTGCAGATAAATAGGGAAATATATATTGATTGGGTGTAGAATTTAAGATTTTAGGGTGACAAACTAAAATCTCCAATTTGATCTTAGTGTTTAAAAACTAAAGCAAGAGCCTTCAGGCGAAAGGAAGTGGGAGCTCTGGAATGGGAGCCAGTACTCCCTTTGCCCAATCACGGAATTAAGGGCCACGGATTTAGGGACTAAACATGGGATTAGTCCATAATTTTCTATAACACTGTATCAGGGTAGAGAATTAAAACTGCTCCTATTTGGCACAATACATATTACAATCATTTATCTCATTTGATTTTACCAAAATCTCATTGTAGTGGGAAAGATATTTTTTCACATAAGAAATCTTCATCACATAAAAATAGTTTAATAGTTTAATAGTTTAGTAGTTACTGTCTAACTTGATAGTTAATGTTTAAACTTTGCATTTCAGTTTTGCTAGTAGTTAAATAATTTAGTTTTGATTGCATCTTACACATTCGAAATTAGTGACAGTAATTTCGTTTGATTTCTATGAATTTTCTAATTAATTTATCATTTCAAATTTAAACATTCCCCGTAGGATCAATATTCGGGGCTTAAATAGAAAGTCATTTACTACTTGATAACGATACGTATACTTGCGTAGAATCTCAATATTAATTGTTTAAATTTCTTAATAATAAATATTGTATCAAGCTTTTGACACTGTTACATAGAGGAATCAAACTTATATAAATTTTACACAACTATATTTTACCGGGATCAGCCTCCATCTAATTCTATGATAATATTTCATTGTATTTTTTATTTTTCAACACTTCATCTTTAAATACAAAACTAATAATTGATGTTGAGTGCTCAAATTTTAACTTGGAATGACATTATAATCTTTACATTCTCGACAATCTTTTTTTTCTAGTATGAAAATAATCAATGTGTTTTATTAGACCCATTCTTATAAGTAATAATATATTAATATATTTTCTTAAATAAAGTATTATCAATAACAAAATCATAAGCTAAAATTAAATTCAGTGTGATTCTACCTTCATCATTAATCACTCTAAAATTATAGCCACCATGAATATTTTTTTATTTTTTTACCGCTCTACCAACATGTCTATTTAAATCTTCAAAAAAAAATTTCTCCAAAAAATGTATCATTTATATCAATCATTCTAGATCATTCCATTTTTTTTTCTTTTGAACATTTATCTTCTAAACCTACTTGAGGAGCATAAGCACTTATAATATTAAGAAACTTAATATCAACAATAATCTTTAGGTCTATAATTCTTTCTCCAATTCTATTAATTTTTAAAATAATATCTTTCAAACTTTTATCTATAATTATTTATGCACAATTTCTAGTATGACTCCTACCCAAATATCAAAGTTTAAAACCTAAGCTATCGATTTTCTTAGCCTTTTCTCAAACACATTTAGTTTTTCAAATGCAAACGTTATTTACCTTCTTATGAAAAATAATATCTAGTAATTTCATTAATTTACATATGAGAGTAAATATCTTTCAAGATCATGTCTCAATATTAATTTCATGGACTAACTTCTTTGTATGATTCTTTTCATGATGTGGAAATTCTTACTTATCTAACACTGCATACAAGCGTCAGGGTAACAACTCTTGTACATTGCTCATTGCATTCAAACCTTATTTAACACTGCATACAAGCGTCATGGTAACAACTCTTGTACATTGCTCATTGCATTCAAATTATACAGTTTGTCGCTTCTAGGGAACATACTAATATTTACACAGGATTTAAAGGATTCATGTCATTATTTTTTTAACACAAATATTACCCTGACTATCTGTTACCTAACACAACCCTCCACTTTACAAATATGAGGTTTGAGATCCGACAATAGAAGTGTTAAAAAAACAATAATAGAAAAAATAAATAAAAATGATCAATTATATAATTATAGATCTGCTTCTATAATATATTTTCAAATCTATCATATGCAAAGCCTAATTGAAATAAAGTTTAAGTTCAACAATATACCATCACCGATGTCAAATTTAGGAGAAAGGGCGTGGATATAACGGCTATAGCGTTGCTAATGGAGAATTAACTAAATGCGAAAGATTATTGACATGATCAAGGTAGATAACATAAATTTGGGAGGTTTGTGGGAACTCATGATGCGATTGGGGATGAAAAATGAAGAAAATATTGAAAAAATCCAACTTACTCCAGTAAATCATGACTAGCTAAAGAGAAAGATGGCTAAGTCACATCAAGGGAGTTGTAGCTGGTTGATCAATTTTTATTTTTTTATTTTTTTGCATTTTTAGTTTGGTGAAAAACATTATTTCTTTGAATAGCACCTTCCACACCAAGATTGGCAACAAATTGATTACTCCTAAGCCTTGAAGGATGTAAAACCCTCCAAGTGCCACTATAAAATGTGGTATTAGCTATAGATTATGATTGAATTCGGATAGTGCTGCATGCACTTTGTGACTTCAATGTGTCATAGCCATTTTCTTGGTTTAGTAAGGTTCTGATGTGGGTGATTTCCACACAATGTGCTTATACAGCATCCAAAAACTATCCAGAGCGTTAGGAAATAGCAGAAAACTTAGCAACACGGGACCCAGCGGATTGCAGCAGGTTAAGACTAATCTTATTGTGTAATAATTTCAACAAATACAAATCTAGAATTACAAGTTTTCATGTATTGGATTGCTTAGGCCATTGTGTGCAACTTAATTATCAGCCTTATGGTGTCAAAATTAACTATGAAGTGATGGTGGATCAATTTCATGACTATCATACGCTAATTAATTGTCAACATCAGAGAAGGTGTCACAATCACACGTATGTTAACAGATTAGTTGAAACTAATGTGAATAATCTTAGTTGGGCTCCTCCCCCCGAAAAAAAATAGTAATAAAACAGAACACTTTGCTAAACGCATCTATGACAAGGCTTAAAGTTACATTACTTTTCATTGTTAAATGCAGGTTGCATGATTCGTGAATACTTTATGTAGAGATGCACATGGGACAAGGAATTAAAAAGCAACAATAAAGCTCCACCTATGGCATGTGGTGGTGGCAGGTGGCCCTGCGAGCCTGTTTGGTGTTACCAATCTTGCGGCATTTCATCAAACAGTCGGTGTTGACATCTTATTTGTATAATTCTAGTGATAAGTTGTTTGGCACTTGCATCCATGACTAGGAAAGTTATTATTTATGAATCAAAGTGAAGTCAGAAGGCAAAAATAAACAAATTAATAAAATATAATAAGAGCAACCGTCTCCCATATAATTTGTGGGCCAAATTGCTCCTGCCGACAACGACATCAATAACAATGTTGTAATTAAGCTACCTGAGTTCAGCAGAATGATCCAAGTCCTATCTTGTTCGCCAGCCATCTCCATTTCTTTAGAGATTATGTCTCCAATGACATGAACATGTGCTTTCCCTCCCCAGTCCTCTTGCATTTCCATAGCCAATCGTCTAGTAAGCTATATATAAGATGGGCAAGTCACCTTTACAAGCACGAACTTAACCAATCAGCTCATCTTGGCTGGTCTTCCCTTTCAATAGGCAATCAATCAGGAAAATAGAAGATGGCTGATCAAGCATTCCATGTTAGATCCACCAGCTTGCCATCCAGATCCCACCCAGCTGCCGCCCAAATTGAAGGAAATCTGCGCAAGATTAGAGCTTGTTTGGGTTCCTTAACTACATCGGCTGTGTCGGACTGTCTGAGAGGGCTCGGAGATGTCTACGATGCAATCGAGGAGCTTCTTCGTTTGCCCGGCAATCAGCAACACCTCGCCCATTCGAACCAAAGGAAATGGTTGGACGAGGAGCTCGATCTCTCTCTCCGGCTGCTTGACCTGAGTGGCGCAATTAGGGACAGCCTCGCCTTCACTAGGGGTCATCTGCGAGAAATTCAGCTCTCTGTTCGGAGAAAAGCATGCACTGATGTCAAGAGCAAAACAGCACATCACTACGACTCCACTCCTATTCGATCCATAAAGAAGGCCTTCGCGACTTCGATGAGATCATTGCAGAAACAGATGGAAAGCAGCAACAAACGCACACCTTGCTCAGCGATGGACGCCATGATGGTTGAGGCGAGGGAGATTTTGATCGCTCTGCTTCAAGCGGCTTCTTCGTTCTTAGCAATGCCGAGGATAAATCAAAAGGGAAGCACTCGCAAGTGGTCGCATATGTGCGAGTTTTTGCATACAAAGAAGGTGGTTTGCGAGGAGAAGGAATGGGGCGCGGGAGGGGAATTCTTGGACGCTCTCTGCGACAACATTTGTGATCTGGAGGGCGGATTGGAATCACGTTTCAGGAGGTTGATAAAAAATAGGGTTTCTCTCCTCAACATTCTCAGCTTTTAGAACACCATGCCCGGTGAAGATGACATTGTGTATTGTGAAAAAATTGTGTATAGTTCAATTTGTGAAGTTCATTTGTGTATATCTTGAAGTATTGTACTTCTAGCTTCTTTATTTTGTCATAACAACAATTATCTCAAAATCTATCAATATGATCACAACCAGCTATGAATTTGTGAATTTGGAGGATTTTGAGCTCAACGCTATAGAACATTTGAGTTTGTTAAGATAAAATTAAATGAATAATGCTTGGCTTGTAATATGATCGGTAAGGTCGCTAATGATATAGATTGGTTGATCATGAAAAGGTAAATAATGATAATGGGGCAGCCACTAAATTGGCCAAACTTGATGGCTCGTTCTATGACTAGCATCTTTAACTATTGACTCCTAGGCAAACATCTCCTTCTACGCCAAACGACATTTCAGTTCTAAAATGGTGATAAAGTATGATGGGGGGGAGATGACACCATGAATTTCCAAGTGAGGATGTTTGGTCATGGCTCCATTGATTATTTTTTTTGGAAGAGTCATTGAGCTCATCAAAAGGGAAAGCCACTAAGTCATACCTAAACTTAAGAGCCACTAAGCTCTGGCATTAAAAGTATAATTCTCTTAAACTCTATCCTCATTTCTTAAGGCTCTTACCTTAGTTGTAATATTACAACATAAAAATAAAAGAAAAGAGAGAGAAAAATAAGATATTACATGAAAATAAATTATTGCAATTTGAAATTACATAAAATTATATTAAAAAAGTCTAACATGAGGTGAATCCACCATATTTCTTCTAGCCTTGGTAAAAATTACTCTTTTTTAAAAATGGTGGCCTCCAAAAATTGGATGTTTGAATTTTATTCCATGTGTTTAATTCTCTCTCCTTACTTGATTGCATTTCATTGGCAAAATTTTTCAAGATCCATCAAGGGGGACTAAATTTCCTACTTTCCAAAAATTCATGCCTCAAAATTTAAAATTTGAATGGTTGAATCCTCGTTCTCACTCGTATTTTGGTTGAGTTAACCACTTTTCTTACGTAACTATCTCCAAATTTTGCAATGAATGCAAATGACTCAAAAGTATGAGTCCCATTAGCAACAAGTTGATATGATTAATATGATCACAATTATTTTAAGATATGGTGAAGGAAAATAAATTTTAATATCATATAAATAATTTCAAAAAGAGTACTTATATGCTAATTAATATAGTTAAATAATATATATTAAGAAACATAACATTGCAAAGAGTAAAAGTTCAACAAAAGTGTACAAACACAATCAAAGATAACAAATCTATGAAAGGAATGTATGATTATAATCAAATAAATAAATTTATATACTTTTAAGGCATATTGTATAAAAGCCCATTGCTCCTCTTAGAACTGAAAGAACAACAATAAACAAAAATCAACTTAAAAATCATATTGTATACAATTTTAATCAATCTTAATTACACATTTAGAGGTAAAATATGCTAATTTTTAACTAACATAGTAGTAACTCATTCTACATAAGTTAGATAATAATTATGTAATCTTATTTTATAATTGTCGTAGTCAAACTTAAATCTATAATAAAATGAATTGAACATTTAAAGTATTATCCTAAATTTGTATAAATAAATAACGTCTAAAGAGAAAACAATGAAATAAAGAAAAGCACTTTATAATAAAAAATAAATTAAAGTTGTTTGAATAGGTTTGAAAGAGACAAGGAGGTTAGTTATACTTTAAATTAATCTATGATTTTGAGCTGAGAAAAAGAAAGAAAGAAGATGTTGTTACTCAAAATTCTCTTTTGATTGTATTTGATATGGATGAAGAGTAGAAGTTGTTTCTTTCTAATGGACGATTATAGGGAGATATAGGTTAAAAAGACGATAAAAACTTGCCCAAATAATGATTGCAACATGAGAAGAAGCATTATGGCTCAAAATGTTCTAAGGGAAGGGACAATGGGTTGATGCTTTATACATATTTAGTTGTTGCATGGGGAGCACTAGAGTGAAAGAGCTTTGGCTCTTGTTACTTAGAGTAAAGTCAATATTCGACAATAAAATTTTTAAGGAATAAGTAGACATAATATCTACAGGTGTTGACATTTAAAAATAAATAAATTAGGGGATTCTAGGTGTGCGTGTGTGTGTGTGTGTGTGTGTGTGAGAGAGAGAGAGAGAGAGAGAATGAATGAAGAAGCCTTACTTAACCTTTTATAACATGGCCTAAGAAATGCAAAAAGTATAACGTAAAAGAGGAAGGTGGTTATGGTGATTTAGTTTAAAGGATTGGGGATGATTTGGTCTTTTTGCAAATTTTAATTCCACTAAAAAAATTGTGTGCCTAATTCATACATTTCTTTCGAAATATATGTGTGTAATTCATTGTTATCTCTTTTTAAGTGTCTCATATTTTTTGTTCATTCTTACTTATTCTTTTATAATACCAAGATAGAAGGAATAGAACAACAGTAAAGCTATCAAATTTCACTATCTAAAATACACTTTGGTAGTTGACCAACACTTAAATGTTTTTAGTTAACGGTGGCTTAAAATTGAATATTTTGAGAATCATTATGAAAAATAATCTGAGAATGAAGACCCGTGATATTATTGTAAAGTTATATGAGACTTGTATAAAGAGTCAATTGATATGAAACCCAACCTACTTTCTTGATTAGCTTAAGAAAACCAATAAAGTGAGAAGGAAGCTCTCCACTCTTATTGATTAGTATATGCATATGTAAAAAGTAATAAATAATCTCAAAACTTAAACTCAATCTATCAAGATTAGGCTAAAAATATTTTCTCTTCTACATATGTAAATATAAAATTATTATTAAATTAAATGAATCTTCTAAGTGGCTAAATCAAAAGCTTGAATTTTAGAGTGTCATCTCATTAATCTCAAACTTACATAAAGGAGATCAAACTTATAATAAAGCTTTATAAGGTATTATATGTATACTAGTTTGAAAACTATTATTATAAACAAACTCCATAAGAAGAATACAATTTACCTAATTACCTTTATAATCATGAAAGTAAACTCTCATCTAATATTCTAAGGCATAAATAGTTTACTCTAACCAGCCATCTATCTATGGATGACATAATTTTGAAGAACAACCTTACAATTAAAGTCTCTTACACTTTCTTCCATAACCTAGAATAAGTTGCAGGAAATTAGTTAACCTAATTTAAATTCATCCCCACCTACCTTTGACTCCGAATAAGCTCAAATGAAACTATAACTTATTTCATATTTAGTGAGTTCATGTTGAAACAAAGAGAACCCAAATCCAATCTAATTTGAAGTTAGGTTCAAGTCAACCTTAGATAATATTTAAGACCTTTGGCTGTAATGAACTAAGAAAATAAAGTTTAATGCTCTAAAACCCTTCTCTAGACAGTCCTTTGAGCATAAGAAGCTTAGTTAACCTATTTCACTAAAACAACTTTAGTTTCATGTCATTATCATTAGTGCTTGGTGAACATAATTATATTATATAAAAAACTACTTAATATTCTACATCCAAAAATAGCTTTGTAGTCTTTTAAAATGTGAGGGATGGATATCACCAATCTTATCGACCCTTATGTTATTAAAGTTCATTGATTAATATTAATTATAACTAATTACATTTTTGAGTGAGTGAAAATAGCATTGTTGTGAGAAGTCAAAGCACAATAGGTGCTCCAGTTCTTTAAGAACAACTTTATGGTCCCATTTGGCATTCATCAATGAATCGAGTATAATAATCGTACTATTTTCAAGAAGGCCAAAATCAATAATTCTATTAGATTGCATTATAATGAATAGAGATACTTAATCATTTATTATACATAAGCTAATAGGTTGGTTATGGTCTTCAACATAACTCCGATTCTCATTTTGAAGAAGAGTTGATACAAATCAAATGTTGCAAAGCACCCAAGAATCATGCAAGTATACGTGTCACCCAAATAGTACACGGAACCGAGCCCGTGTATTGATCCATGATAAACAATCAAACTCCAATGGGTTGTTTAGTAGCCAATCTTAAGCAGGATATAGGCTAAATCCTGTTAAACGACAAAATGCACTTCTGTCAATCCTAAGATTTGGTAAATCCCAAAATGACATCAATTCATCATAAATCAGAAATTTAGTAATTTAGTAATTCCGGGACAAGCAAAGAGGAAGAATGGTGCAAACAGGCTCACCTTCCTCCCTAGTTTTTTGTATGAGCCAATCGGAAGGATGAAAAGGATGGGAGATCGGCAATCCCAAATTTATTTTTTGAAGTGTTGTCAATAATTATCACCACTTAGGTATATAAAAATTTGAGACCGAAAATATTGATTAAATTTAAAAAAAAAAAACAACCTTCATAATTATGATTTCTATGTAATGATAGATAAATAAAGTTTTCATTAACTAATCTATCCCTAAATGATTAGGATCACTAAAATCTTTTTAAAAAATAATTAAACTCCAACTATTTAGCCATTATCATACAATTTTTATGAAATCCTATTTTAAAAGAGGAATTCCATCTCTAGTTTAATTTAAAATAAATAATAACATATGATCATTTCCCAAAGAGGGACAGCTGATGCATGTGGGCTTGACAGGCTACTTACAGAGGGGAATGGGAGCATATCACTAGCCCATAGTAGCTTTATAAATAGATAACACAAGCGTCGGTTCATCATCTTAACATCAAGCCCACATGCCTGTCAAGCCCATATCACGTTTCAAAAAAATAAGAGAGAGAGAGAGAGAGAGAGAGAGAGACAATGAGTATATGTTATCTTGCATGAAATGGTTATTTATTTTGATTTATTTAATTACTATCTTTATGATATCAATATAAAAATTGATAATAATTTTCTAATTAATTTTCTAATTATGTAAAGTAAGATTATATCTGTTAAAAAAAATCTCAATTTTATATTATTTTTAGCAAAAAAAAAAAAGAAAATTATCTAAAAATTATAAAATAAATAAATAAAATCATAATGTCTTGGTAATAAAGGCATTTACAGGCACATCACACAATTCTTACATATTTACATATCCACCATAAACTTTCATGTTTACACACATACCATTTAAATCTTAAATATAGCATAAAGAATAATATTTTTAACACTTTTTTAAAACTTAAAAGTGAAAGGCACATTTATATCAAACACCAAAGTGGCACATATGTAAATGTGAAAGTCTAGATGTGAGATGTAAATACATAAAAATTTAGTGCTAAATATGTAAATTTACCTTTTATAATATTTATCATTAGAAGTATTTAAAAATTACAAAGATGCCAATATCTATTTTTAAAAATGAAATTATTAAATTGGAGCAATTTCATACGGACCACCTGAAACTTACAATTCACAAATCAACCACCGTCTTTCATCCATTTTTTTAAATTCTCATGCAAATATCAAAATTTATGGCAGTTTTATTTCTATCAAGTTCGTGATAGCTTGATCATGACACACATAAATACATCAGTTTGGTAGTTCAAAATAATCACTTGGGGGGCTTAATTTATAAATATCAATATTTTGGGTGATCTGTATGTAATTATCTCTTTATCCTATTGATATACTATTTCTTATGGTGAGCATCCTGATCATGTGATCTGTCTGATCTCAGTAACGATTGGCTTTGATACATTGCTTTAACTCGAGCTGGAAAAATAGAAAGGAACAATGTCCCGAGTCTAGTGGTGGTGTGTAATTACTTGTATTGCTCAATGATAAAGTAATTAAGCTTAAGGGCCCTTCAGCTTTAGTTCAATCGGCTGTAATCCTGAGCTAATCTTTGTAGTTTTACGCCGAAACATCACAGCGAGTTAACTCGGTCATTGCATTATAGAAGGAACATGTGACTCGCATGTTTAAAACAGGTCATGTGACTATCAAAATAATAAGTTCACACACTAGAGCAATGAGTAATGACTAACATAGAAAATATATATCCTTTCCCATTTGAATGATAAAGCAGAAGTTTAGTTCTTCTACAAACGCTTAATACGAGCTCAATGCTTTCCTCCAACTTTCACTGCTAATAATAGCATAGAGCGACCAATCGAATGCTTTGTTCATAAAGTTTGACAATGTTGAGGGAATATCACTAAACAGCACATCAATCAAGAGCAAGCATAAACAATTAATCAGGTGAACATAGCAGATCAGAGCTTACTTCCACTTGTCCGAAAATGAGAGCCCAATGCCTTCACCTTCTCCCTAAGAACAAATTTCTCCACCTTACCAGTCGACGTTTTCGGAAGGTCCTCAAAGATGACTGTTCGGGGCGCCATATAATGTGGCAAATTAGCACGACAGAAAATGATTATCTCTTCACTGCTTGCACGGGCACCATCCTTCAACTTGACGAAGGCGCAAGGCGTCTCCCCCCAGTAGTCATCGGGCCGGCCAACCACAGCTGCTTCGAGTACAGCTGGGTGGCTGAAAAGCACTGATTCCACCTCTACTGTGCTGATGTTTTCCCCACCAGAGATAATTATATCCTTGGCTCTGTCCTTGAGCTTAATATATCCATCAGCATGCCTTACAGCAAGATCACCGGAACGAAACCATCCGCCGGCAAAAGCTTTATTTGTTTCATCATTATCTTTGTAATATCCAGCCATGACCGTGTTGCCTCTAAACATTACCTCGCCTATGGCTTTTCCATCAGCTGGTACACTCTTCATTGTAACTGGGTCTTTAACATCCAATTCCTCGATGCAAAGATGTTGAAGTCCCTGGCGTGATTTGAGTTTTGCGCGATCCTCTGAAGGTAAGGCATCCCAATCAGGCTTCCACACGCAAACCGTTGCTGGTCCATATGTCTCGGTGAGACCATAAGAATGGATGACATGAAAGCCAAGGTCTTCCATCTGGAACAAAACAGTTTGGGGTGGAGGTGCACCACCAGTTGCCACTGTCACTTTTCCAGGCAGTGGCTTCCGGTCACTGAGTGGAGCATTGATGATCATGTTAAGAACTGTAGGGGCACCACCCATGTGGGTCACCTTATGAAGGTGAATGCCATTGAATATGCCCTTTGCTGAGACATTTCTCAAACATACATTAGTGCCACCCTGAGCTGCTATACCCCAGATGAAACACCACCCATTGCAGTGAAACATGGGCACAGTCCATAGATAAACAGGCATTGTAGTGATATCATTCAAAAGGATTGCAGCAATTGAATTCAGGTATGCACCTCGGTGAGTGAAAATGACACCTTTGGGTCTAGAGGTGGTGCCAGAAGTATAATTTAGAGATATTGGGTCGCACTCGTCGAGGGGCCATTTGATGTTAAACTGGGAGTTAGCAGTCCTCAGTAGAGTTTCATAGTTGTTTTCAGAAGATAGAGACTCACCGGGCTCTGAAAGTATAATAAGATGAGGAAGATTAGTTTGATCCTTGGCGAGAAGTCTAAGAGCACCTTGGCCAACCTCTAGTAATTGATGATCAACGAAGATGACCTTTGCTTCAGAATGTCTGATGAGGACTGATAGCATAGCTGAATCATGCCGTGTATTGAGTGTGCACAGAATCCCACCAGTCATGGGAACCCCAAAATGTAATTCACACATTGACGGAATGTTAGGGGCAAGAACAGCAACCTGGTCCAAAAGCGCAATCGATCACCAAATAGTTCTGGAACTAAAAAACAATATTTATACACAATATTAAACATTGGCAGCAACCTAGCATAAAACCAAATATCATGTCTTTCGTTGCTATGAGAATAATCTGCAAGAAAATAGAATAAAGCTGGAAAAGGTGTATAGAAATGCTAGTCAGGCTTTATCAATATATTTTCATGAGAACAATCTGCAAAAAAGTAGAAAAAAAAACTGAAAAAGGTGTATAGAAATGCTAGTCAGGATTTGTCAATATATTTTCATTTGTGAGCATCAAAAGGGGAAAGTTGTTACACTTTCATAAACGCTTTCATAATGGCGTTCAAATTTCAATTATTCAGCATAATGATTCAGGAAATTTGTCTCAGCCTGAAGTGAATTCAATCCCTTCCTCTCCATCCGTGCACCATCAAACAAAAAAACTTCTTTCTACATTACTATGTAAATGAAAAAAAGGGAAAAAATAAAAATAAAAAGGTAACTGGGATCGATTCCATTGTAGAAAAACTGTGTTTTTCGGATGCCTGGGAAGCCAGACATTGTCCCATGATTCGGATCCAGAGAGAGAGAGGGTAGAGACTCGAATAACCTTGAGCTCAGAGCTTTGATACCATGAAAGCTTTGTAAAGGCGCAAAACCAGTAAGGGGAAATACAGAGCAGGCGACTACCTTATGGTAACATGTTCCAATAATGTTATTATTTGTGTCAAATCTTGCCTAAATCCAAGATAAATCATGTTACAATACAGCCCCTTAATGAGTCATCAGCCAATGGATGGAACTCAAATTCAATCATCCATGTTTTGGCTGTTTAAGTGCTTCATAAATAAACCATGATTAAATGAAAAATTTTTATGCCTACAAGTAATAGCTTAGACTTACTATGCATATCCCCTCTTAGTATATATCTGTTGAAACCAGATGTGTTTGGGAGGCACGCCTAAGGAATAGAACGCTGAAGGATGAGAGAGAGAGAGAGAGAGAGAGAGAAGGGCAAGCAATACACAATAATGAACAGTAAATTTGTGTAACATTTATTCATGAAATGGACCATAATTATAGGAATGACGCAGGTAGGGTGTGGGTATTTCAGTCTGTACATAAATATGGCTCATAGGACCCATGGATATGGTTGCGCAATTGTGAGACTGGGCGGCCATTAAGTAAGTCATCTGTCGATAGGGCGTCCATCAAGCTAAGCGGCTATGAGGCCAGGCGTTTGTGAGGTTGGGCGGCTGTCAGACCGAGCAACTGGTAGGCCGGGTGGATACTTGCTAAGGGTTCACGTCCACTCTGGAACCGGTGGACACACTTTATCTTCTCGGTCTCGAGATTGGAAGACGCCAAATTCATCCAAGTGATTGGAAGACGCCAAATTCATCCAAGTGGATCTGGTCATATGGGTTCTTCAGGGGTTGATCTACCCCTTATCTGTCTATGGAACATTGTCTTCCCAGTACGTAAAGGGCTAGCCGGTTGAGTGTGTGGTCCTGGGTCATCCTTGGTAGGTCCTGCGGAGCCACATCACCTCTTCCGCCATCCGTGAGATGTCTTTGAGATTTGTGCTGACGCATTTTTTATGTACATATTAAAGTTTTCTGATTTTCTTGCTACTTGATAGCGACAGCTATGATAAGAAAAAAGAAACCTAGATTTTTTAAGCAAGTGTGACTATTTGATGTGCAATAATTAACTACTTAATTTTGGTGCCATATTTGTTATAAAGATGAAGTGGAAATTTATCTTTCAAGCGTTCTTTAAGATTCATCTTCGGTCTCATTAGTGGTGCTGAGTCCTAACATGAAGACAATCAGTCATGACACCAAAATCGCTTGGCTAAGCCCAAATGTGAAGACGGCCAGTCGCGGCGCCAAGATTGTTCGGCTGAGTCCAAATACGAAGACTGCCAGCCGCGGCGCCAAGATCATCCGGCTGAGTCCTAACATGAAGACAACCAGCTACAGGACCAAGTTCGACCGGTTGAGCCTAAATGTGAAGGCGGCCAGCCGAGGCGCCCCCGCTAAGTCCAAATATGAAGACGTTCAGTAGCAGCGCCAAGATCGTTCGGCTGAGTCCAAATACGAAAACAACAAGTCGCGACGCCAAGATTGTCTGGCTAAGTTCGAATACAAAGACAACCAATCGCGACGCCAAAATCACTAAGCTGCATCCAATATGAAGATAGCCAATAAAAATGGCTGACCAAGGCACCAAGGTCGCCCGGCTAGCTAAAAGCATAAGGTTACCAACCCACAAAAAAACTTGACTCAGAAACAACCTGAGAAGCAGTCTCCTGCCCGGTAACAACAGGAAATACTTAATATCCTTGCATAAACCCTGTGCGAGGCATGACAAGCTCCACAAAGGGCACAGCATAAACTGCCCCAGATCAAAGCCCGGGTGGTGACCATCGTTAAGGCGGGCAAGGTAGGACTTGAGTTAAACTGCAACAACTTAAAGACTACAAATCATCAATCACTTATCAAGCACATTACCGGGCAAGCCCCTCACAAAGACACAGCAAGAGAAAAAACCAAAATGTACAAAAGATAACCAAACCGCTTCATTACAAAAGATATATGCAATTTTCATATTTACCAAATTTTCATGTTTACAAAAAGGTGGTCTATACAAAATATTTGCAAAATTATTGTTCAAAAGAAAAACCTAAGCTTCTAGAAGCCGACTGGAAGAGCCCCACTTGTTTTGAGTGTCCAAATACTTTGGATCAACCAAACCTGATCGAATGAATTGATCAATCATCGTCAGGCTACCAATCCGAAGTTGCTCTTCAAGGAGCTTCACCTGCATAGTGCGAGACGGAAGCGACGCGAATCATTCCATTTTCATGGTCGTCATTTGCTCTTTCAGGCTACGAATTTCTTCCTCGTCAAGTGAAAATAATTCAGAAACCGAGGAAAATTCCTCCTCCACTGCAGCGAGCTTCTTCTCAACTGCCTCAACCCACTTCTTCGCCTCTTTGGTCAACCCAACCAAGATCTCGGCTTGTTCCGCAGCAGCAACCCACCCATTCTCGGCACGGTCCAACTCCATTGATTGAAGGTGAGAGGCCTCCCATGCTTTCAAATGATATCGGTTGGTCTTCTAATACAAATAGGACCGCTCCAACTTCCGAAGAGGCTTCGTGAATGCCTTGTTGGCATCATATTTGATGTCATATGTGTAAGGTGTTTGCTTGAACGCTACAGGATTGTTTTAAGCATCCCGTAGACCAAGAAATCTATTCAGATCACCTGGTACGTGTCTTGGGCAAAGAACTAGGAACAGTGTCGACTTAGCCTTACCCAGGGAAATTCGTCGTGGGGTAGTGTTGGTCCCGATACAAGGCGTGTTTAATGCCTTTTTTGGTGTTTAGAGGTCATACTCCGTCTATTTGAAGTCTCCCGTGGCTAAGGACAACCATCAAACTCTCCGATGCACATTTTAGGAAAATTCGGGTTCAAACCAATCTACCTGCTCTGAGGTCCGGGATGCTTGTCAAAACTAAAATCCCCTAATTAAAACCTCCAGAATGTTCATTTTTGAGTTATGGGGTATGATTTTAACGATACATGATTTCTCGTAGCTTCTGGATCAGTGAAAACCTTCCTACGGACATCCAGACATAAAATTGAGTTTCGAACTATTCGGATCGTACTTGGCCTCAGGCACTAATTTTAGACTGTTACGGTGCACGCCCTAGTGTCCACCTTGATGTGGGAGAACCTATTTTCACTGCTAACAGTCTATGGTAGTCCATGAATCTATAAAAAGCTACCCGTACAAAGCTTCGCGCACCAAGGTAGAAGAATGCAAAGAGGCAAGCCCCCTTTGGGGGGCTTGGGTGCTCAAGCGCCCGAAATGGTTATGTGAGTGTATAACGTGAGTGTTAGAATCTTTTGGAACATTCACATTATACTCAATTGTTTAGTGCACTACACATGTCCCCTTAAGCGACCGTAGCGTGCTAAACTCTCTTTTAAGATATAATACAAATGTTCACACCTGTTGAAACACTCATAACGTGCTCAATCACTTGGCATGCCACACATATTCGCTTGAGCAACAGTGGCATGCTGCCTCATATTTGCATTTTTGCATGTGCATCATCTAGTCTATTTAGATGGCAAGTTGATAAGTTAGATAAGTGATCCGTCCGTTGGTCATAATTTTTAAACGAACATTGATCGCAAGGATGTCTTGATGAGCAATGTGAGTTTTTGTATTATAAGTAGTATACAACATGACTGTGTTAAGGTTCCAATGACTCTAAAGTATATCACCTGCGATGTACTTTATTTTAAAAACATAAGAAAAAAATGTATTTTATATATATATATATATATTATACGTAATCCCCTTATTTTAAAATTATGTAATTTAGGTCATATGTGAGGCCGCCCTTTCAAAATGTCATCACCTCAGTGATGTATTCTAGATCCTTTGGACCGGGTTTAGAATTGGCGACCCCGTCAAAGTCATACGGGAGTCTTTACCCCTATACCTTTGTGCACATTTAGATGATGTGTTAGGACACTTTCGTTAGACATTGTGTTAGGCTAAGATTAGGGCATTAGATAATCTCCGTTGTCTGGCTATTGCTCTTTGCTGGTTTGGTTGTCCTAGCAAAACAACACTTTGTTTGTGAGTATGAACATGTGTAATAATATATTATAGTCAGTTTTGTTGCAGTGAGTCATGCATAAACACACACGCACACAAAAAGGAAGGAGCAAGTAATGATTTAAAGACTAACATTTTCTGCAGAAGCTATTGAGCTCCTCCCACGAAACATGGCTTATATGCATTGCATGATATAACTTGTGCTAACGTTTTTGCATGTCGAGTCTTTTTTTTATCATGTATTTGATAGAGTTCTTAGGATCGATTCTGTATAAAAAATGAGGTAGGGCAAGGGGTCCAAGGTGTATGATGCACCAAACCACGTGACGGGGACAAGGAGCGATTGTTCGTGTCTC